AAGACAGCCCTGGGCCCGCCAAGGTGCCCCCCCCAGACGCCCCGAGGGACCTCCAAAAGGCTTACAAGCGAAACCCGAGGAGACTCCAAAAAGCATTCAAGAGTCATCTAACTCTTCGGCTCGCCCGTTTCCTCCTCCACCTCCTCCTCTTCCTCCTCTTCCTCCTCTTCCTCCTCTTCCTCCTCTTCCTCCTCCTCCTCCTCCTTTTCCTCCCCCTCCTCCTGCTCGCCCTCATCCGCAAACTCATCATCCTTTTCCCTCCTTCAATATCTTTCATCCTCCTCCTCCTCATCCTCCTCCTCCTCGTCCTCCTCCTCATCCTCTTCCCTCCTCCTCCTCCTCCTTCTGCTCCTCCTCCTCCTCCTCCTCGTCCTCCGCCTCCTCCTCCTCGCCCCTCCCTCCCATCATTCATTCCCTCCCTACCCCCCTCCCTCACTCCTCCCTCTCTCCCTCCCCTCCCTCCTTCCTTCCCTCCTCCTCCTCCTCCTTCTCCTCCTCCTCCTCTTCCTCCTTCTCCTCCTCCTCCTTCTCCTCATCCCTCGACTGATAACGACTGTTAACGTTTGCTCCTACGCTTCCATGCTCGTCTCGGCTCGCTTGGGCGTCGGTTTTGGATGGGCTGGCAGGGATCTTTTTTTTTGTTTACAGCCGCAGGCGGAAGCGCCAGCGGCGGGCGGTCGCGGGCGGGCTGCGGCCGCGACTAACGGCGGGCGCGCGCGAGCTGGCAGGGATCCGCGAAGCGTCAAGAATTCCGAAATTGATTCCTGAACTGTTTTACGTTGGCCTCGATGCATGACTCGCCCAAATATGTGTTCAAAACTCTGCAGCACAAGGAGCGCGTACGTGCCAGCCGTCCTCATGATGCTGAGCCATTCGTGCCACGTCGGATCCTTGCCGGCAATCAGAACCTTCGCGAGTCCCTTTGGCCCATCATCTGGATGACGATGACGCGCACGAAGATACAGCTCAAGCCCTGGCCCGATTGCCCTTGGAACGATGCAGAGCGATTGCGTTCAGCAGAATGTGTAGATAGGTCCACCACGCACCGAAAAGGTCTCGTATCGGCGTGGCCCTGCACTTCTCGGAAACCTTGACGGTCTTGACAAAAAACCTGGTTCCTGACGCTCGCCGTGGCCCAAGAGGCAACATCTGTTCAACTGTGATGAGCGGACATGCAATGTTCAACTGTCGACAACCACGGGGCCTAAAGCCTGACATGACCGCCAGTTCAGGCCCTTGATTTCAGCCTACAGGCTCCTTGCTGATGGCCAACAGGAGCCAGGGACCCGAGCGAAAATCCACCAGGTGACCACTGCCAGGTGTGAAACCCACGACCCTCCGACAGTCGTCCCACAGCTCCGCTGGGATCGCCACCTGATGCTGTCGGCTGTTCTTGGCTTTGGCAGCGCTCGACTTGGAGCCTTGGGTAGGCTCCACCCTGGGCCTGGGGAGACAGAGGGAGTTCCCCTGATAATTCTAAAACACGCCTGAGCAGCTGATCCCCACAGTTCCGGAAAACAATGTTAAACCCGATGTGGGGTTCCACGGGACTAGGAGGACGACGAGGAGGAAGAGGGAGAGGAGGAAGAAGAGGATGATGAGGAATCGGAGGTTGGGGGGTGAGATCTAAGTGAAACGGAGAGCCCCCCACCGGGAAATCGGTTTCGGTGTCGTGTTCGTGAGTGCCGTGCGTGCGGGCGAGGCGAAGCTGCGTGGGCGCTTGAGAGGAAAGTCTCCTGTGGCTGAGGCGCGGCCGGACCAAATGATTCTCCCTCTGGCAAGCGGTGGCCCGCGGTGGCCCGCCAGTGATCCGCCGGTGTCCCGCTTGTGGCTGGGCCCCGGCCGGACGAAATGATTCTCCCTCCAGCAAGCGGTGGCCCGCGGTGTCCCGCCGGTGTCCCGCTGGTGTCCCGGTGTCCCGCTGGTGCGAAAACGATGGTGAGACCGATGACGAAATCGATTGTGAGATCGATAGTGAGATCGGTAGTGAGGCCGATAGTGAGATCGATCGTGAGATCGAAAGTGAGATCGATAGTGAGATGAATAGTGATATCGATTGTGAGATCGAGTGATATCGACAGGGAGATCGGTAGTGGGATCGATAGCGAGATCCAGAGTGAGATCGACAGTGCAAGCGATCGAGTGAGATCGATAGTGAGATCGATCGAGTGAGATCGATAGTGGGATCGATGGTCTCATCGATCGTGAGACCGATAACGACATCTCTTGTGAGATCGATAGAGAGATAGATAGTGAGATCGATGGAGGGATCGATCGTGAGACCGAAAACGACATCGCTTGTGAGATCGATAGAGAGATCGATAGGGAGATCGATTGACTGGGATCGATCGTGAAATCGATCGTGAGATCGATCCAGTGAGATCGATAGTGTGATCGATCGAGTGAGATCGATTGTGAAAGCGATAGTGGGGTCCATTGTGAGATCGATTGAGAGAGACGTTGGGTCCTCCCCCCCCCTCAACTCTCTTACCATCCAGGGATTTCGGCTCAAGGCTTCTGTTGCACTCGGCTGCCCCCCCCCCTCCCCCACGAACCTCCTTATCTCCCGCAGGGTGGTCGTATATGTAAATAACCAAGAGAAGAGGAGGGATGGGGGAGGAGGAGGAGGCGGAGGAGGAGGAGGAGGAGAAGGAGGAGGGAGGAGGAGAAGGGGGAGGAGGAGGAGGAGGAGGAGGAGGAGGAGGAGGAGGAGGAGGAGGAGGAGGAGGAGGAGGAGGGGAGGAAAGGGGAGGAGGAGAAGCATGTGTTTCCTCGAGGGACTCACTGCAGAAGGTAACGAGAGACAACAACGGAAAATCAACAAGACGAAGATGTGGCCGCCAGTTCCCACGCCTTCACGCGGTCGGCCAATGCCAACATCCCCGAGTTCGGGAAGAGCCTGGTTCTCGAACTGCATGGCGACGCTGTGGACGCAGTAGCAGCCTCGAGCAAGAACGAAATAGCGGGCCGACCTGTGGAGTCATCCGCTGCCTCACTCGAATAGTGTGGGTGTAAAGCACGACGAATGCGGCACAAGGTTAGCTCACCACTCTTGGGGGTCTGCGGGGGGGCATCGCCAGCAAGGCGTACACAGCGTTTGCTTCAGTACGCTCCACACCTCAGGCAAAAAACAAGAGGCTGGGACACCCCATCCTGGACAATCGCAACATCAAGCTTATGGCCACGCACCTCCGCTCCACGAAGTTTTCAAATGGCCGTGGGAAGGCCCTTACATCCCGTCATGGAACGGTCCGCCGTAAAAGAAGCGGTGAAACACTTCCTGCACCTCCAAAACACCCCTGGTTGAGCCTCGCACCAATCGTGCCAGCTCAGACCTCTGACCAACCTTGGTCGGAGGCCCTTGGGTGGGCGGCGGAACTCAAGTTTGGGACAACAAGATAGCACAGTAGAAACCATGTTGGCGAGCATCTTGGTACGCACGCTGAGGGAATCAAGGGCCTCCAGGACTTATGCCGAAGCCCCTGGGTGCAAAGTGAAAGCATGTTTGGCAAGTCTGTCAGCGTCTTGGTTGCCCCGGGCGATGCGACGCTCCCCAACCGGCAGAGCTTCGATCACCCCCTCTGAACGGTGGGCTGGTGTGTGCCGCGCCAGGCCGAGGAGTTTATCACCATCACTCTCTATGGCCATCCGCCGCAAACCTGCAAAAACTTGCGTTGGGGACAACTGTTCCGTCAAACTGGAATTCTGCAGACGAACGGCTCCCAGGCAGTCGCTATAAGGCGAGCTACAAACACGATCAAGAAGCGAGCTCAACGGCGAGCCCAAGATGTTCTGCAAATTGGGGCGATTGAAACAAGGTTGGCCACGCGACTCCAATGCTGCGAGCACAGATGACGTACTCTTCCCCAAGAGCCAAAAAAACAGCCGCGTAAGCAGCTGGATTCAATTCACGAAAAATCGGCTGGGTGGCAGAGCTGTCTACAACGACATCGAACCCTCGAGTCAGCTCCAGGAAACGGTCCATCTCTATCGCCTGGTCGTAGGCATCTTGGAGGATAGGGTCGAGGTCCCAGGAGGGATCAGGGATGCCATGCGGCTGGGCGAAGATCAAACGCGACAAGAACAGAGGATCGTCATAAACTTTGCTGCGAGCTTCGAGGATGATGTCCTCACCAACGCAATCAATGCGAGTCTGGCGGATCTCCTCAGCGTCGCAAAACAACTGCCTGTGGACAAGGGAGTCTGGCATACCACACAAAAGACAACCCCCGTCGTGCAAATACCCCGACTCTCGAAACCGATCCCCTGTCCAGCAGGCTCCCGAGAAACATGCCGCTAACCAATATTTCTGTCGGGCGTTGGTCTTGCTCGACCGGTACAGGGTGCGCACATGATCAACGCACACTCGCTCTCATGAAAAATTTGGGAGGCCAGAGGCAAGCTTGCGTTCGAGAGATCGTTGGACCGCTGCTTCTAAAAGTTTCGCAACCATGGCAGGCGAGGTGCACATGAGATCGACAACAACATGGAGGAGAAGCAGGACGAGGAGGAGGAAGAGGAGGAGGACGAGGCAGAGAAGGAGGAGGAGGAGGAGGAGGAAGCGGAGGAGTTGGAGGTGGACAAAGACAATGACGATTAGGACCGAACGCCAGAGGTCCGAAGTCCCCGGTATCAGTTAACAGGGTGGAGGACGACAACGAATCTTCCCCGTTCCTCCGACCCCCCCTCTTCCCCACTCTTCCCATTTCCCCCCGCTCTGCCATCCACGCCCCGCCCTCCCATCCACGGAAAACCACAGACACCGATACCGCTGTTCCACGGACCTCTCCCGGGCTGCGTTAGGACCAGGACCCCGCGGCGAACCTGGCCACGGCGACGAGGATTGTCCAGGACGAGCAGCGGCACATCGGTACCTTTTTCTTCCTTTGGTCCTCTCCTTCATTCCCCTGTGCCCTCCTCCCTCCCTCCCTCCCTCCCTCCCTCCCTCCCTCCCTCCCTCCCTCCCTCTCCCCCCCAGAGGAAGCAGGCGCCCCCCTCTCCTCAGCGGGCACCGCCGCGTCCTCCTCCGCCGCCTCCGGCGCCCGCCACCTGCTCGCCTCGCGGCACCGAATAAAGCAGCCGCCGCCCCCCCAGTTGGCGCCGAAATGGTCGTCGTCGTCGTCGTCGCCGTCGTCGTCGTCATCCTTCCTCATTCCTCTTCCTCCTCCCTCCTCCCCCCCTCCTCCTCCTCCTCCTCCTCCTCCTCCTCCTCCTCCTCCTCCTCCTCCTCCTCCTCCTCCTCATCCTCCTCCTCCTCCTCCTCCTCCTCCTCCTCCTGCGCACGCGTCAAAAGAAGAAAGGAGAGGGGCCCCTCGATCCTGACAGTCCGGTCCCTCGACAGCCCGCGGGGGGCCTGGCCTCCACCTGAAGAGACCAGACCCCCCGACCGCGAAGTCGAAGCAATCGACCTCGCCACCCGCTCAGACGGGCACCACGGAGTGAAACGCTGCAACGCACACCATGTGCAGGGAGGGGGGGAAGGGGCAGGCGGCGCTCGCCCTCCGCGGGGGGCACGTTATCGCCGCTCCCTTCGTTGCTTCCCCCCCCCTGCCCCGGCGCCGGGGGCCTCCATCGCACTGGCGAGCCAGGCGCGGAGGCGGGCAACCGGCGCCAGCCTGCGAAGTGGCGCCGGTAGTCGGCGACCCGAACGCCAGGCGTCGCGAGTCACGCTGAGATCAGTGCGCTCTTCTCCGCCGCCTCGTTGCCGTCCCTCGGAGCAACCTCGCCAGGAGCGGCAGCAGCAGCCGCGGCAGGCGCCTCCTGCGCAGGCCGCTGGGTGCCCCCCCCTCACCGCCGGGCCGCGCTCCAAGCGACTCGCGAGTAGGGAGCGCCCAGCCAGCTGTCTCCAGCGCCCCAGCAGCGGCATCAGGCGCAGCGGCGGGCGCATCGGCCGAGGGCGCCGGGCGGGACACGCGGGTGTCCACCCAGCCGTCGTCCTTGAGGCCGTCGTCGCCGCCGCCGTCCGCCGTGCCGCCGCCGTCCGCCGTGCCGCCGCCGTCGCGACCGAACTCGTCTCCGGTGGGCTTCGCCTGCCTGCCAGCGCCGCGGCGCTTGCGAGCCCGCCGCCGACGCCGCCGAGGCCGAGGGCCTTCAGGCGGCGCGGCGCAAGCGGGTCGCCCCTCGGCGCGGGCAGGTCGAGACCCGGCCTCGAGCGCCGCCGTCGCGGTGCGGCACAACCCCTCTGCAGCTCGAAGCAACCGAACGGCCGCCGAACCGCGCGCACGGCCCGCCGCAGCGTGCACCGCCAGCGAGACCCCGCGGGCCGCGGCAAGTTCAGCACGAACATCAACCGCCGCGGAAATCGGAGGCCTGCGGCGTGCCACCAGACGGCGGTCTTTCGGCAGCGGGCTCGACGCGGGGGCGACTTGAGAAAAATGGCTTGAACCAAAATGGCTACGGACTCTTATTATTTGTCCTTTTCCTCCTCCTCCTCCACATCCTCTCCCTCCTCATTTCTTCTCCTCTTCCTCGTCCTCGACGTCCCCCTCCTCCTCCTCTTCTTCCTCCTCGTCATCATCCTCCTTCTCCTCCTATTCCATCTCCTCCTCCTCCTCCTTTCACCTTGTGTTCGGATTCCTCCTCCATGCTGCTCTTCCTCCTCTCCTATTCCTCCTCCTCTTCGTATTATTCGCATTCGTATTCATATCATGAGTCCAGTTATTATCAGCATTAATAGTATTACGATTATTCCTATTCTCTATAGTTAGCATTACAATTCTGGCTGGTATTGTTACTACGAGTCTGATTTTGTACTACTGCTACTAATGTTCGTGTTCTGACTGTTATTCTTAGCACGACTATCATACACATCCTGCTGATTAATATTGTTATAAGTGTGATTCGTATGATTGATCGCCATATTGTGATTCGCATTAGTATAACTACTAGTAGTTTCTGTATTGTGCTGAATACAATTCCCCTATGCTTGTTGGTACTATGGTTACTCATATCAGTAATGCTCTTATCATGACTGTTCCAAATGTTCTTATCATTGGGAGTAATAGTCATACTGCTTTTCTTATAAGTAATATATGAATGTTCTGTTACTATTAAGTGATACGAATCGCTGTGTTATTATTCGTATCATTGTGATGTTGCATCCACTTACTAAATTCATCGCATGTTAAGTATTATGTTTATTATTGATGTGATTGTTAGTGTTATTACTCGCTTCCTCCTCCTCCTACTCCTCCTCCTACTCCTCCTCCTACTCCTCCTCCTACTCCTCCTCCTCCACCTCCTCCTTCTCCTCCTCCCCCCTCCTCCGCCTCCCCCTCCTCTTCCTCCTCCCCCTCCCCTTCTTCTTCTTGTTCGTCCTCCTCTTCCTCCACCTTCTCCTTCCTCCTCTTCCTGCTCCTCCTGTCCTTCTTCTCCTCCTCCTCCTCCTGCTCCTCCTGCTCCTCGCCCTCCTCTTCCTCCTCCATCACCTCCTCCTCCTGATCCTTTTCCTGTTCCTCCTCCTCCTCCTCTTTCTCCTCTTCCTCCTCCTCCTCTTCTCCTTATTTGCATTCGTTTTCATGGTATGAGTCCGGTTGTTCTTATTAGTAGTAGTATCGTTATTCCTACGATTAATGAACTGTCTACAAATATTGATACTAAGATTAATAGTAACCATAATAGTACTATTGATTTTTGTTATCAGTATTATTCAAACAGTGCCACCCTACCTAGAAGTTGGAGCCCCTAGGAAAGCAGCATTAGTTGCTATGCTATGCTATGCTATGGTATGCCATGCTATGCTGCGCTATGCTATGCTATGTTATGCTACGCTATGCTATGCTACGATATGCTATGATATGATATGATATGCTAAGCTATGATATGGCATGCTGCGCTGTGCAATGCTAAGCTATGCTATGCATGCTGAGCTGCGCTATGCTATGCTATGCTATGCTATGCTATGGTATGCCATGCTGCGCTATGCTATGCTATGCTAAGTTATGCTATGCCTGGCTATGCTATGCTATGATATGCTATGCTAATGCAGCGCTGCGCTATGCTAAGCTAAGCTAAGCTAAGCTAAGATGAAATAAGCCAAGCTAAGATGAAATAAGCGACGCTAAGCTAAGGGGACGTAACTGGGGGAACCGCGGGGCGGATACTGGGGGAATCGCCCGGGGCGCTTTCCACTGCCCGGCCCCTTTAAGCCCAGAGCGTAAGAACCCTTCTAGGCAGAGCCTAGGTAGGGAATCAGTATTACTGCTAGTATTGTTAGTAGTAGTATTCGTAGTATTGTTATTAGTATTCGCATCCTTAACAAAAGTAGTCATAATAATGCCCTATGCGTGTATTAAGTGTTACTGATCAGATTACTACCAGTAGTGCAACTGTTGATAATAGTAGTTTTCGCATGTGTCTCCTTGGTACGACGGTTCTGCACATCCTGATTATGGATGTTAATATAGGTGTCGACCTTATTACTCGTATGACTAATCGTCCTATTGTTATTCGGGTTAATCTATGTATGATCTTATAACGCTGCTTAATTATGCTGCTTCTCAGTACACTGTTTATTGTATGCAGTTTCTTTATGTTGCTCAGTCGTATCCTCATTATGCTTAGTAGTGCAATGGCTATTAGTATTGGTGTTATCACAATTGTCCTTAGAATGGCTGTGTTTAGTGTTCCTATTATTAGGAGTAATGGTCATAATGCTAGGTAGGTGATGGCATTAAACTGTTTATTCGTATTCGTTCTCGCATGACTAATATTCTGAGTATTCGCATTCGAATTATTTGTGCTACTCGTTTTCTTATAGTTCGTATCGTCATGATGTTTCGAGTGTTTCTTAGGTATTCTTAGTGTAGGTAGGACTCTTCTCATTCGTAGTATTATTCGCTTCGTCCACCTCCTCCTCCACGTCCACCTCCTCCACCTCCTCCTCCACCTCCTCATTCTCCTCCTCCTCACTCTCCTCCTCCTCCTCCTCCTTCCTCCACCTCCACCTCCTCCTCTTCCCCCTCCCCCATGTTTGTCTTCTTGTTCGTCCTCCTCGTCCTCCTGCTCGTCCTCCTCCTCCTCCTCCTCCTCCTCCTCCTCCTCCTCGTCCCCCTCCTCCGCCTCTCGTCCTCCTTCTGCTCCGCCTGCTCTTCCTGTTCCTCTTCCTCCACCAACTCGTCCTCCTCCTCCTCCTCCTCCTCCTCCTCCTCCTCCTCCTCCTCCTCCTCCTCCTCCTCCTCCTCTACGTGTTCCTCCTCCTCCTCCTCCTGTTCCTCATCCTCATCCTCCCTCCTCCTCCGGCTCCTCCTCTTCCTCCTCCTCCTCTTCCTCCTCCTCCTCTCCTCCTCCTCTCCTTCTCCTCCTCCTCCCCCTCCCCCTCGTTTTCCTCATCTGTCTCCTCCTCCTTGTTTTCCTCCTCCTCTGCCTCCTCTCCTCTGCCTCTCGTCCTCCTCCTCCTCCTCCTCCTCCTTTCCTCCTCCTCTCTCCTCCTCCTCCCTCCCTCCTCCTCCTCCTCCTCCTCCTCCCCTCCTCCTCCTCCTCCTCCTCCTCCCCTCCTCCTCCTCCTCCTCCTCCTCTCCTCCTCCTCCTCCTCCTCCTCCTCCTCCTCCTCCTCCTCCTCCTCCTCCTCCTCCTCCTCCTCCTCCTCCTCCTCCTCCTCCTCCTCCTCCTCCTCCTCCTCCTCCTCCTCCTCCTCCTCCTCCTCCTCCTCCTCCTCCTCCTCCTCCTCCTCCTCCTCCCTCCTCCTCCTCCTCCTCCTCCTCCTCCTCCTCCTCCTCCTCCTCCTCCCCTCCTCCTCCTCCTCCTCCTCCTCCTCCTCCTCCTCCTCCTCCTCCTCCTCCTCCTCCTCCTCCTCCTCCTCCTCCTCCTCCTCCTCCTCCTCCTCCTCCTCTCCTCTTCTCCGAGGCCCGCCTCTCTGCGGGATGCTGCAAACGGCGGCGCCTCTCCCGCGGGGGGGCGACGACGACACGGAGCCACTCGGCCGCGCTCTCCGCCCCTTCTCGGCGGCACGTGCCGCTGCCGTGTGTGGCCCCGCGAGCGCCTAAGATGCGCCGCGCTGTCCAGGCCGTCCAGGCCTCGTGGGTGGAGGCAGCAGCGGGCGTCTGGCAGCGCGCGGGACGCGCTGCGCGGGCCCAGCTGGGTGTGCGCGACGTCATCGAGGGGGAGCGGTAGGGACTGGCCCAGGGGGGGCATCGACCTGGAATCGGCGAGGCGTCGCCGATGCATCGGCGATAGGCCCCCGATAGCGAAACCCCACTCTCCTCGGTGGGGTTGGCTATTGGACCCCTTTCGGCGACGGGTGGACGACTGGGGCTCATTGCGTCCGCCCCCTGAGTCGTTGCCCCTTAGCTTTCGGATCATCACTCGGGTCTCCAGCAACCGTTTGCGACGGTCTGGGCCCCCCGACGAAAACCGACCCCCGAGGCTGGAAAACAGCCGAGACCAGACGAAAACGTCCGAAACACTCAAACCTACAAGCCGCTCTCGGCGCTGTCGCTGACGCCGCCGCCGCCATCGGCCGCTGCAGGCGCCGCCCGGGCGGCCCGCCCTGCCTGGCGCAAATTGCGGTGGTGCCATCTCTGGTCGGAACCGTCGTGGTGGTCCCGAGATGCCTCGCTCCGCGCACGGAGGGGGGGGATGCTGCTGCTGCTGCTGCTGCTGCTGCTGCTGTCACTCCTCCCTCTTCTAGGGAGGAAGAGAAAGCGGCGTACACATAAAGCATCGCCCGTCCGCGCGGATCTCTTGGATCTGTGCTGGACCACCTTCCCTGGCGCTCAGGGAGCGCCAAGGTCGGCGCCTGGCGCTGGACCGTTGACGAGTACAGTTGGGGGCCCGACCGCAAGAAGCCTTCCACAGGAAACCCAGCCCTGAGACCCCAGGGCGTCCATTGCTTTTTAGCGCGGGAACGTCACGCATTCCATGGCAAAACCATTGAAGCCCAACAAAACCCAGGGCACCCTGGAGGAAAGCAGGGTGCTTCTTGGCATGGGCCTCCACTGCATGGTTATTCCGTTTTCCTCCTCCGATCTGCCTCCTGTCCCCTCCCACGCCGCAGGCGGAGCCCTGTGGGCCGTCGGATATCGCTCGCGCGCCGGGGCCGAGGAGCTCGGGGGCACAGCCTGCGCCCTCGAGGCTGCTCGGGCTGGGGCCGGCGCCACTTGCGGGGCACGAGCCTGCTCGGGATCCGAGGCCCCCGCCTGGGGCGCGAGGCGCGCGGAGCTCCTTGGGGGGGGGCGCGGCCCTCTTGGGGATACCGACGAGACGGGCGTGGGGCCAGAGGGCCACCCTCGCTGCAGATGCTGTGGCTGGCGCTCCTCTGGGGCGCGAGGTCGCGCCGCGGAGGCGCGCGGGCGGCGCCCAGGCTGTGCCCACCTCCACCGCTGCGGCCACCTCCTTCGGGTGCCCGTGGTGGGGGTCGGGTGGGGGCCTTCCCCCCTCCCTGCCTCCCGCGGCAGTCGCCGGCCTGCATCCTCCCAACTCCTCCCTCGTGGACTCGAAGAACTGCTGGGGCAGGACGGGCGGGTGGTCATGGGGGGGGGCCTACCTGGGGGGGGGGCGAAGAGAGGGCCCCTGAAGAATCCCTTCAGGGCCCCTCGTGGAGCCAGCTGGGGCCCACAAGGCGGCCCAGAGCGCTCCTGTATCGTCAACGGCTGAACGACTGCTGCCGTCCCTCGACTCGCGCAGGAGCGAGCGGCCACGAGTTGCTCCAGATGTCCCTGGAGATCTGTGCATTTACCTGGAAGTACTTGGGTTTCCTCTGATTTCCCTGGCTCTATCTCGATCCTCCATTCCGCTGCATCCACCTCCCTGTATTTGGCTTGATCCCCACAAATCGATCGGCGACGAGTCGTCCAGCCCTCAGGGACTTTGGGGCCCCCTTCTCCACCACCCCTTTTGGGCCCCCCCCCCCCGGAACCACCCGCCCGACTCCAGGTCGGGGATCTTCTGACCCGGGCCAATCCAGACCCGGGTCAGTCAGGCCTGCAAAACCCTGCAAGCCCCTGCACCCAGACCGGGGCCATTGCGAAGGATCCTGCAGGGTCCTGCAGGATCCTGCACCCAAGCCTGGGTCAGTGCGACCCTGGCCCTGCAGCATCCTGCAAGATCGGGCGCTCTGGCTGACCCCCGTTTGCATCGACCCCCGTCTCATTTGGACGCCCGATAAGGATACGGAAAGAATGGGTACAATGCTCAACAACAACTGTTGTCCCAGACCAAGAGCGGCCGCTGTTGGGCAGGCGGCCTTCTGTCTCGAATGGACACAGGCCGCGACGGCGTGGACGGCGAATCCCGTTCAGAATGAACGGGAACTGCTGCTGGGCATTGTACCCATTCTTTCCTTGCCCATTTCTCGGGAGCGGCCAAGAGGGGGGTGTCCAAGAGGGGGGGGTGTAAATCATGACCGGCGGCACGTGCGCGGCCCAGCGGAGAGGCCAGGGACGTAATGAAATAAGAAGAGGTGCCATGAAACCCGCCATGATATCCACCCCCCCCTAAACAGCACCCCCCTCTTTGCCGCCCCCGAATTTCGAGCGTCCAAATCTCGGAGAGAGCGTGATCCACCCCCTTTTTACTGTGGAAAATTGCCAACCTTTTCCTCCGGAACCCGGGGGTCTCCCCCCCCCCCTTCCGCCCCCCCCCCCCCCCTGCTGGACCCCCCCCCCTTCCCCCCGGCAAAACCCCCCCTCCCCTAACCCCTCCCCCCCCCCTCCCCCTCGAAAACCGGGGGGGGGTCACTACCGGTTCGAACCCTCCCCCCCCCCCCTCCGGATCCGGAAAACCGGGGGGGGTCACTACCGGTTTCGAAACCCGTCACCCGGTTCCCCCCCCCCCACGCACCGCCAGCAAACGACTCCCGGTCCCTACCACCGCTCGCATCACATCCCCCACTGTTGTTCCCAGCACCACTGTCCTCACCACCACTGTCCCCACTGGTTCCACCACCGTCCCTATTGTCCACACCAGTGCCCCCACCACTGTCGCACTGTCCCCACTGTTCCCACCACTGTTCCCACCACGGTTCCACTCTCCCCACTGTCTCCACGGACCCAACCACTGCCTATCCCCACTGTCCCCACTGTCCCACTGACTCCTCCGCTGTCCCACTGAGCTGTCCCACTGTCCCCACCACTGTCCCCACTGTCCCCACCGCTGTCCCCACTGTACCTCTGTCCCATTGTCCCACCGCCGTCCTCGCCACCGCCTTTACCACTGTCCCCACCACCATTGTACCCTCCACTATCCCACTGTTTCCACCTCATTCCTACTGTCCTCACCACCACTGTCCCCACCACCACCGTCCCCACCACTGTCCACTGTCCCCCCTGTTCCCACCATTGTCCCCACCACTGTCCCCACCACTACCGTCCCCACCACTGTCCCGCTGTCCCACTGTCCCCACCACTGTCCCGCTGTCCCCTCACCACTGTCCCCACCAACACCGTCCCCACCACTGTCCGCACCCCCACTCGGTTTTCGAGGGGGGGGGGGGGGTTCGAACCGGTAGTGACCCCCCCCCCTTTTCATGATGAACTGGGGGGGGGGGGGAGGGGTTCGAACCGGTAGTGACCCCCCCCGGTTTTCCGGAGGGGGGGGGGGAGGGGTTCGAACCGGTAGTGACCCCCCCCGGTTTTCCGCCAGCAGCGGTAGAACACGCTCTTTCAAATCTCGAGGCCCCCGACTCCGGGAAGGCTCCCCGAGGGCCTCCAGCCTTCGGGGGGGGCAACCTCCTCTCTCTCTCCGGGGCCCTCCCCCCCGCGACGGCCGCGCCGAGGAGGGCTCCTCCGCAGCAGGGCGCGGGGCTCCCGAGGCGCCCCGCCGCCTACCGGGGAGGCTTGCCCCCCCCCCCTCGCCTTGCCTTAAGTCGGGCCTGCCCCCCTACAGGGAGATTTTCGACCAAAACTAAAAAATAATTACCCCCAAAATAATCCAAATTATCCTGGCGAAAGACCCAACCATAAGCAATTGTTGGTAACGCGTTGTGGGTGCCGCTTTCGGTGGGGCTCCATATGGGGCCACGAAGCGCTGCCTTGGTGGGGGAACCGCATGCGGACTGCGCCACCTGCGGGCCTTCGGTGGAGCTCCCTATGGGGCCACGAAACGCTGCCCTGGGTGGGGGAACCGCATGCGAACTGCGCCACTGGGGCCTTCGGTGGAGCTCCCTATGGTGCCACGAAACGCTGCCCTGGGTGGGGGAAGCGCATGCGAACTGCGCCACGGGGGCTTTCGGTGGAGCTCCCCATGGGGCCACGAACGCTGCCCTGGGTGGGGGAACCGCATGCGAACACCCCCACTGGGGCCTTCGGTGGAGCTCCCTATGGGGCTACGAAACGCTGCCCTGGGTGGGGGAACCGCATGCGAACACCCCCACTGGGGCCTTCGGTGGAGCTCCCTATGGGGCCACGAAACGCTGCCCTGGGTGGGGAACCGCATGCGAACACCCCCACTGGGGCCTTCGGTGGAGCTCCCTATGGGGCTACGAAACGCTGCCCTGGGTGGGGGAACCGCATGCGAACACCCCCACTGGGGCCTTCGGTGGAGCTCCCTATGGGGCCACGAAACGCTGCCCTGGGTGGGGGAACCGCATGCGAACACCCCCACTGGGGCCTTCGGTGGAGCTCCCTATGGGGCTACGAAACGCTGCCCTGGGTGGGGGAACCGCATGCGAACACCCCCACTGGGGCCTTCGGTGGAGCTCCCTATGGGGCCACGAAACGCTGCCCTGGGTGGGGGAACCGCATGCGAACACCCCCACTGGGGCCTTCGGTGGAGCTCCCTATGGGGCACGAAACGCTGCCCTGGGTGGGGGAACCGCATGCGAACACCCCCACTGGGGCCTTCGGTGGAGCTCCCTATGGGGCTACGAAACGCTGCCCTGGGTGGGGGAACCGCATGCGAACACCCCCACTGGGGCCTTCGGTGGAGCTCCCTATGGGGCCACGAAACGCTGCCCTGGGTGGGGGAACCGCATGCGAACACCCCCACTGGGGCCTTCGGTGGAGCTCCCTATGGGGCCACGAAACGCTGCCCTGGGTGGGGGAACCGCATGCGAACACCCCCACTGGGGCCTTCGGTGGAGCTCCCTATGGGGCCACGAAACGCTGCCCTGGGTGGGGGAACCGCATGCGAACACCCCCACTGGGGCCTTCGGTGGAGCTCCCTATGGGGCTACGAAACGCTGCCCTGGGTGGGGGAACCGCATGCGAACACCCCCACTGGGGCCTTCGGTGGAGCTCCCTATGGGGCCACGAAACGCTGCCCTGGGTGGGGGAACCGCATGCGAACACCCCCACTGGGGCCTTCGGTGGAGCTCCCTATGGGGCTACGAAACGCTGCCCTGGGTGGGGGAACCGCATGCGAACACCCCCACTGGGGCCTTCGGTGGAGCTCCCTATGGGGCCACGAAACGCTGCCCTGGGTGGGGGAACCGCATGCGAACACCCCCACTGGGGCCTTCGGTGGAGCTCCCTATGGGGCTACGAAACGCTGCCCTGGGTGGGGGAACCGCATGCGAACACCCCCACTGGGGCCTTCGGTGGAGCTCCCTATGGGGCCACGAAACGCTGCCCTGGGTGGGGGAACCGCATGCGAACACCCCCACTGGGGCCTTCGG